CCCTTTGGGCGCTCGCGGTGGTCTGAGCCTCATTCCCTTCCTTGTAGGTCGCTGGCCGGGTGGGGGCTGAGGAGCCCAATGGCTGTGCGGGGCAGGGATGCCATCGCCTGGTACCAGAAGAAGGTCAGTGCCGGGGCCACCCTGCAGCTTGCAAACCACTGCTTCGCCCTGTACTACCTGAGGCTGGCCCCAGTCACTGACACCCACCCCCCAACGCCAGGCTTCACTGGGGCACGGTACCTGGCCCCTGTGGCCGCTGAGACCATGCTCTGTGCTTAACAACACAGAGCGTTGCTGTCAAGCTAGTTTTGTTTATATTTTAAATATTTCAGCTCCCCTCCCCTGCTCTTAAAAGGTTCAGTCCACGGATTTTAAAAATATTTATTTTGTTGCTTTCTGGGGATAGTTGTCTACAGTCTTGGTTTATTTTGGCCTGCGTTATTGATATTGCTTTAATGTAAGCCAGCAAATTAGTTTAATCACCATTTCCTTCAAGCAGGAAACCCTGATTTGGGCAACAATTGAAAAACAATTAATTTTAGTTAATTTAGAATTGACCTTTCTTTACTAAATTTTAAATAATATATACTATATTTGGTGCTTCTCTCTGCAAACCAGGAGGATTGGCTACATTTATACATGTTTATTTAGGCTCTTATAAACATAGGTAAATGTAAGCTATATCAGATTTGTTTTAATGGTGTTTACTGTCAAGCTCTGTTTGAGCAGAGATTAATTCATTTAAAATATACAAACATTTAAATTGTTTAACTAAAACTACCTTAAACTTGCTGTAGGTATCTGATATATTTTTTAAAAAGTTAAAACATTTTGAATTTGTAACTTGAGTTAGTGTTTGTTTCTAGTCACCCTGTAGTTCAGGATTTCATAACTGGTATATCATCTTCCCATACCAGCATTCATTAATAGATTGGAAGAGGAATATAAGCCTTACTGGTTTTCAGCTCCCAGGTGTTTTTTTTTTTTGTTTTGTTTTTTACTTTGAATGAATTAATCAAGTCATTAAACTGAAATAAAGAAATAATTTCCTTGATTTCTGGCTGCAGAAGAGTCTTCTGCTGTCAAAAGCTGGTTTAGCACTTTCACTAGTTAGCCAGTGACTTTCAGCAGTTCAGTGTTTTGACTTTTAAATAAAATGGTAGGAAATATGCACTGAGTAACATTTTTAAAATTCAGTTGATTTTAGTAATAGTATGGTAACTTTAGGTCTTAACATGGGCTGTCCTAAATAAATCACTTTTGTTGAATCATATTTTATCCACCCTGTTTTGATTTGTAGTAAATTAAAGAATTTTGTCACAAAGAAAATTTGTTTTCTCAGATTGGAGCCTATGACCAACAGATATGGGAAAAGTCTATAGAACAGACTGAGATGAAGGTAATATTTTTATTTATATTTTCTTTTAATTTGCTGTTTGTCCCATGCCATTTATTGATTCCCTGTGACGTGGTACACCAATTCTGCTTAATGCAGAACCTGGGAGCCTACACAGTGAAAAGCATTACATACCATAAATATTCACTGGACAGTACAATTTGTCTGATTTTTTTTCTCTCAATCTGAACTTTTACTATTTGGTAGATATTGTACAGATCAAGTGCAAAGAGTTAGTCCGTGCCCTGGAGAACTGGTCATTTATTTTCAGATATTCCTAAACAACTAGTGGTGACTGGTGGTGGTGTTTACACGTGGTACTACAATTTGAATTTAACCATAAGTTTAAGTCCAAAAGCTAACTAGTATTTATTCTTGCATCGTGACTAATATCTTTGCCCACGAAAGCTTATGCTCCAATAAATCTGTTAGTCTATAAGGTGCCACAGGACTTCTTTGTTTATCTAGTATTTATCCTGTCTCAGAAGGGTAGCTGTGTTAGTCTGTAACTTTAAAAAAAAAAATAGTCCTGTAGTACCTTAGGGTATGTTTACACTACAGCGCTAATTCGAACTAACTTAGTTCGAATTAGTCAATTCGAACTAAGCTAATTCGAACTAACGCATCCAGACTAAAAAACTAGTTCAAATTAGCGTTTTGCTAATTCGAACTAGCATGTCCACACAGAGTGGACCCTGAACCGGGGTTAAGGATGGCCGGAAGCAGTGCCGGCAGGGCATCAGATGAGGACTTAGAGCGTGGAGCTGCTGTCTCAGGCTAGCTGAGGTCTGTGCTTAAAGGGACCCGACCCCCCATCGCGGACAGACAGTTCTCAGGGGTGCCCCGCTTGCAAAGCAGTCCTGGCTTGGATTGCCCACAGTACCCACACTGGGCACATCACAGCACTCGGCCATCATAGAATCATAGGACTAGAGGTCATCGAGTCCAGCCCCCCGCCCTCAAGGCAGGACCAAGCTCTGTCTATACCATCCCTGACAGATGTCTATCTAACCTGTTCTTAACTATCTCCAGAGAGGGAGATTCCACAACCTCCCTTGGCAATTTATTCCAATATTCGACCACCCTGACAGTTAGGAATTTTTTCCTCATGTCCAATCTAAACCTCCCTTGCTGCACTTTAAGCCCCATTACTCCTTATCCTGTCCTCAGAAACCAAGAGGAACACATTTTCTCCTTCCTCCTTGTGACACCCTTTTAGATATTTGAAAACCGCTATCATGTCCCCCCTTA